AAGTTCATCATCATAATCTTCTCTAGCTATGTTTTCTTCTTTTGACTTCCTTTCCTTGTTTGACCAACTGTCCTTAGCAAAGTGATCAAACCTATTATAGCAGTAACATTGAACCTTCCTATTTTCAAGATTTTCCTTTCCCTTTTGATGTTTCTTCTCATTAGAGTTAGAGGCTTCTGACTTCTGAGAACCACCATGTCTTTTCTTGGCCTCTAACCAAGATTACTTCTGGTCCTTCTTAACAAAAGAATCTTTCAGAGCCTGCTTTACCTCTCTTTTCGAGGTTCTCTCAGTCAAACACGACTTTTGTGCCTCTAGACTAGTTTATAGCTCTTCAATTCTCATGGTGCTCAGATTCTTAGAATGTTCAATTGTTACATTAATATAATCAAATTGAGGAGTAAAAGATCTCAATACCTTCTTAATGATCACTTGTTTAGAATGATTTTCTCCACATGATTTCATCTCATTTGTGATCAAAATTACTCTAGACATGTAATCAGGTACCTCATCATTGTTCTTCATGGTGAGATTCTCATACTACTTGCATAGAGACTGAAACTTCACATTCTTTACTGATGCATCGTCTCTGTAGCATTGTGTCAGTATATCTCACGCAGCCTTCGTCGTTGTTGAATCAACGATTTTCTCAAACATATTCACTTCACACACTGATGGATGTAGAACAACGCTTTATGATCTTTCTTCCTCGTATCTCTCTGCGCGTTTTCTATTCCTCCGTCACATCTGTTGTAACTGGAACCTAACCATCAGTGATGAGATCAAGAACGTATTGAGGTCCGAACAACACACGTATCTGAATAATCCACCGATTCCAATTTTTTCCACCCAAACAACATAAGCTTTGTATTCAAGCTATTTCTGCCATTCATCTTCGTTCTTGTGCACCGAAACTCAAACAGATCTCACCAAAACACTTGTGTTTCTCGATCCCACAAAATTAAGAAATGCAATTCTATTATGATTCCGATCGTAAATTCAACGCGAATTCAAGCAACGAAATCAATAACACACGCCTCACGTACACTCTTATTTCCTTGTGAATCGAACCGAAACTCTAGATACTAATTGTTAGAGTACAAAGTTGAAGATGAAGATGAAGATGAAGGTGAAAGAAGAAAGAGAAGAGAGATAAAAATTGTTATAATAAACTTTTAGAGAATGAAACTATATTGTGAAAAACTTGTAAAAACTTGTAAATTCACGTAATAAAAAATCAGTTACAAACTTATTGAAATATACAAACTAATTAACTAAACTTCCAGGCAAAGTTAAAACAAGCTAATAGATTTAGAATCCTACGTTAAAAGACACTTACAATTTGAAAATCTTTGTTGTTTACTCTAAATTAAATACTAATTAATAGTTTCAAGGGGGTGATATATAAAAGGACATAATGGTATGTTACTATAAGATTCTCTTAATCTTTAAAAATATGTGTGTATTGATGAGTTTTGTTCAAATAAACATTCATTTAGTAACATCATCCAACAAGCATGTATACCAGTTGTATAAATTGAGTGATCAACATTCATAACAATAGTTCAACTGAAAATGTTACGATCAAATTTTGAGCATGTAAAAAATAATATTAAAGTTCCAACACGGCCATATTATATTTAGATAAAAAAGTAAAATGGAAATTTCTTTTTTTAAATAATCACTTTTAAAAATAAATAAAAATTCTAAATCACATTTTCAAAAAACTTATTAAAGTAATTATTTTTCAAACAAAAAAAATCATCACACAGAGGAGGAGTCACGCTGTGTGGCGCATACATACAAATTAAAGAGGATACGTCACATTGTATGACTTGTCCTCCTCTATAATATCATGCAGTGTGGCGCATACATGCATTATTAGAGAGAAGACGTCACCTTTCGTGGCTTGACAGTTGTATATGGTTTTCTATAAGTGCAGTCAACCATCTTCATTTTTTCACACCATTTCTCACACCACACTTAGAAAATGTCTTCCACTCCCTTGCCAACGTTTTCACTGATCAAAAGAGATGCACATGTTATTTTTCGACGACAAAACCTCCGATGAAGATTAAACTCTGGAACACACATATGTTCGAGCATTTTCAGAGGTACTTGATTCGCTGGTTGAAAGGAGACATTCCTGAAGGTGAATAGATCAGAAAAATAGAAAGGCAAATTATAGTGAGGAACGAAAATGGAGTAAGCCGATCATGAAAAAATGTGAGATGCGACGCTGATGTCATGATGATGATGCTTGGACCAGACGATATTGTGTTGATGGTTTTTATCTCTTAGATATTATAATGTGTTTAGTTGTTTTGTCTGCTTATCATGTTGTTGTGTTGTTGTCCTGAGTTTGTCGTGCTGTAATATTTTGGATCATTATGTGAAGGTTGTTGTAATCGAATGATAAATTGAACACGAAATGAAAACCCGAATTTAAATTGAAATTTCTTGCTTACAAAAAATTAATTACTCCGAAAAGTTTTCTATAAAAAATTAGGTTGCAGAGCTAGATCCAATATTCAGACAATTTTTTTGATTGTGTCCTGGAAGACGACATGTACTGCATAATCTTATCATTTTGTTGGTTGTATCCAATTCAGTTCTAATACGAGTGCATTGGGGTGCCCCTTTTCTTTCGTCATATTTGTTCATTGTGCCAAACAATGTCCCCTTGATAAGCAGGCCAATAATCCTCCTTTGCCAACACGGAGAGGGTACTGATGTACACACTTAAAACGCTCGTTACTGTGTAAACGGGGGATATATGTTGTATTGGATCCAAGCGAACATGCAAACATGCCTCTATGACATGAGAGCAAGGCATGCAAAATGCTTGAAACTTTCCGCAATCACACCAACCTCTATCTAGTTCGACCCGATAATATCCTCTTGGCCTCCCCTCATTATAATCCATTGTCTCTTGTACACTGAATCAGCCTTTAATACGGTCAAACACGGTGACACTATGGGTGTTTGCTTTAGCAGCCTTCTCGTTAAATGATTTCATTGTGCATTTATTAAACAACAGCCTCCTCGCAACACAAGGTCATTCGTCTTCCCCTTTGCTAAAAGTAAGATTACGAAAACACAAAATTTACATACTATATACTATAACTAACATGTATTAATTTATTACCCATTTTTTCTATGTAGGTGGTATGTTCCTGGGATGAATTATAATAAATATCCACGTAATAGTAGTCTACCGAAATCTTATTGATCATGTTGGATCCTAAGAGGTATTAAACTTACATATTTTATACAATGCTTTCAATATGTTAATTAAGTTTAATATTAATATTAGTTTAACACTTTTTTCCTCTCTAGTTTGTATGGAGGCCGTATAAGGATTTCGACCATGAGATTAACCCAGCAGACGTTGAAGTCTGGAATGCAAAAACAGTGTTCATCAGGTTCACTACTGTGGAGATGCACCACCGTGATCGTGTGAAGCTACAGTTCGGTATGCAATAGGGAATCCCAGAACCCCCAACATGTTTGGGACAATGGCATCTACTCAGAGTTGACGATCAATGTGGATTTAGTGATTTGAGAGACTTCACTAAAAATCAATGCGTCAATGGAGGCATCAACGTGAGTTGGTCCTAAGGGAGCGGATCTTGCAAGATGACTTAAAACCGACTCTCCAATATTCGAGATGATACACATCGGTTTCAACAAATTTGTTTCTGTCTCAAGAGACATATTTGATCGACCCACATCAAAGAGCTGCATCATACGCCTAACAACAACCCCAATAACCAACCCCTTAACAATACCAAACCCAACAACAATGTCAACCCACTCAAACCCAACAATCATACACCACCACATCCAACCAAACCCGTCATCAATTCATACCACACACAAACACAATACCAAGAGCATGACCTGACCCACCACTAACAATATGCACCATCCTTATCCTATCACAATACCCAAGACACATATGATACATCTCCTTCCTATCATACCACCCAACCTACATGCAGTCAAACATCACACCATCGAAGTACTCAACCATCATACGAGTTTCATACACCACAAGAACCGTTGCTTCATTTCCAACACGATTCAACATTCCAAAACTATCAACCACCCAACCACACATATCCCAACCAACAAGACCAAACTTCAATAACATGAGCACCGATCTCTTTGGAAGCACATCACAGTGGGGCGAAATAATTGATGAGATGTATGATCCTGATGTACCAGGACCATCACATCAAGCACCTCATCATCAAGCGAGTCAGAACAGACCTCAAACACCTTAGAAAAATCAATAGAGAGGAATGAGACAAGGGGTGAGGCAAAGCCGATGCCGTTTATGTCATACTGGGACCCGCTTAGATTGAGGGGACGTCCGAGAAAAAATGTATCAATGCATTGTGTAATATAAAATATTAATATGACATATTTTTAGTTACTTTTATTTTTATTTAAAAAAAATTAATAAATACATCTGTCAAACCACACAAGGTGGCGCCTCCTCTTTAATAATGCATGCATATGCCACACTGCATGGCATTACACATGAGGATAAGCCATGAAGTATGACACCTCCTCTTTAATTTGTATGCATGCGTCACACAAAGTGGCACCTCTTTTGTGTGACGAATTTTTTTAATAAATTTTTTGAAAATATGGTTATTTGAGAATTTTTTTTAAAAAAAATTTTTTAAAAAAAAAAACGTAAAATGAGCTATTATTAATCAATAATTAGAAAATTTTAGTTAATACCATGAAATATTCAAATATCAATTAACATTTATTCTCAAACTGAGTATATGGTTTTAAATAAAGTTATTTCATAAATTCTTTAAAAGTTCAAGAGAAAGTATATGCACAACACAATCATGAAAATAACAGAAACAATTGATCAGTAATTTTTTAAAAACAACATAATGATAAGGCTACATTACTTAAACATAAAAGTTCAAACTTCAAACAATTGTAACTTCATAGGTGAAAACAACTTCCTGAAATTAATTCATTCTATTGTGTGTTCTCTTCAGTCTTACGTTAAACATATGTTCAAAGAATCTTACAAGCCGTACAGGTTTTCCAATGAAGAACACATTATATCCAAAGAGCAGCCCAGATAATAGCCCACACGCGTATCCTGTTACTACTGATTTCCATCCAAATCCTGATTCCTGTTCATCTTCAGAAGTTGAATGTGGTGGCTGATCTTCATCATTTTTGCATGATTTAGACAACGGGAACCCACATAACATGGCATTTCCATCATAGGAACTATTTTCAAATGTATCAAACTGTTTACCTTTAGGTACCATTCCCTCAAGGTGGTTTTGTGAAAGGTTTAAGAAAGAGAGGAAATTCAAATTCGTCAAAGCTATCGGAATCTCACCTCTCAATTGGTTCCTTGAGAGATCCAGCCACTCCAAATTTCTCAAATTACTCAAAGATCGAGGAATATTACCTGTGATTTCATTGTTTGAAAGGTTGAGACCTTTGAGAGAAACTAATTCTCCAATGACATGAGGAATTTCTCCTTCAAACATGTTGTTTGATAAATCAATTGTTGTGAAAGTAGTCAATATCCTCGTCAGCTCCATAGAAAAACCTTTCACTATGACCACAACAGAATCATTATAGTAATCGCTGTTACCCATGTATTGCAATCCAATTTTATTGTAACTCACATTCATCATTCCTTGAAAGTTCTTGAGGAGTGATATTGGTAAGGGTCCACTAAAATAGTTATCAGATATGTCAAATATTCTCAACTTAGGAAATGAATGCTTGATGTTAGTATAGGTGATTGTACCATGAAATTTATTTGATCGCAAACTAAGTACTTGCAACTCTGATAGAGTTTCAAGCAACATTGGAAATGTATCATCTATGTTGTTGTTTCCAAGGTCTAAAATTTTAAGTTTTGTGCAATGAGCCAAAGAGCGTGGTAGATGTCCATCCAATTGATTGTCATTCAACTTTATAGTCTCAAATTGATTTATTTTTGAAAAATTTGTAGGAATGCTTCCATAGAGGTTGTTCTTTTGCATATCCAATACAAAAAGAGAAGGAAATGTTCCAATGCATTGTGGTATTGTGCCTGTTAAATTGTTGCGAGCCAAATTGAGCACCTTCAAGGAACTTGCATTGCACAAAGACAAAGCAATGTCTCCTGTGAAGTTGTTATTTGAGAGTAAAAAAAATAGAATGCCATAGGGTGGAATTGGAAGATCTCCTTGCAACTTGTTGAAACTGAGATCAATGAGTATAATGTTCTTCCATGAGTTTAAGAGATGCTTTCGAAACCATTTAGGAATTTTTCCATGAATGTTGTTATTAGAGAGATCTAATATTTTCAGATTTGGTAATGGTGGTAAGAATTTAGGAAAATTATTAATATTAGTTGATGATAAAAATAAATATTTAAGGTTAGGGGAGATAGTTTGAGCTTTGCCATCAATGTTGATAGAAAGAGCACTATTGTGCGAAAGATCGAGGAGAATTAGATTTTTAAACGTTGAAAATTGGTGAAAATGCACAACACCACTCAAGTTTGTTGATGACAAATCTAAGTAAGTAAGACTTAGTTCAAATATTGAATTTGGAAAATGACCATGGAAGTTGTTGTTAGAGAGAAACAAATATCTCAAAGAATAAGTTGAGAAGTCGTCAATAAATCCTGTGAGGTGGTTGTCCTTGAGGTTCAACTCTATCAAGAAAGGCAAATAATAACACCAACGTGGAATTGTTCCATTTAACATGTTTTCACTTAAATCTACATACTTCAATTTTGAATGTTTTGTGATTTCAATTGGGATTGGGCCGACAAATTTATTAGACGATAAAGTTAAAAAATAAAGACGGGGTAAATGAAAAAGAGATAATGGAACTTGGCCTACTAAGCTGTTATTGGAAAGATATAAATATTCTAATTTGATTAATCTTTCAAAAACATCTGGGATCTCACCTTCAAGATTGTTGTAAGAAAGGTCCAATAGTGTGAGTTGAGTGAGGTTCCACAAAGATGGAGGAACCGTTCCGTTAAAAATGCTCCTTGATAAGTCTAAGAGAGTAAGAGACTTCAACTGACCTATGGAATAAGGAATTTCACCAAAGAAAGAAGTGTTATATAGAATCAAGTACCTTAGAGGAGTGCTCCAGTTGGACTTTGGAAGTTGACCGCTAAGATATTGATTACCTGATAAATCTAGTTTTTGAAGATTAGGTAGAGAGAGGATGTGACTTGACAAATATCCTCGCAACCCGGTGTCTCTTAGGATAAGAGAAATTAAAGAGGATGACACATTTTTTAGCACTGACAAAGAGTTCTCTCTCTCTCTGATTGAGCTCATATCCACACTATCTAGATAAAGCTGCTTTAAATTGGTAGCATTATGAATGAGTTTCTTCCATGTGAATGGATTGAGTTTCAAGAAGCTATAGCTAAGATCAAGTGATACTAATTTTGACAAATGAGAGATTGTGGAAGGAATATTACCTCTGAGATTACAGTGTGATAGATTTAGATACATGAGATTAACTAGATCACTAACACCAACATGCAATGAAGACATAGAAAAATCATTAAAAGCCAAGTTGAGTTGTTGAAGGTGTCTAAGTTGGAAGATAGTGCTATTGGGATGTAATTTACCTTTTAAATTGTTGCAACTAAGATCAAGACCAATCACGTAATCGGACACGTTGTCACAGGTGACACCATCCCACTCGCAACAATCTTTGTTATTTGTCCAAGATTCTAACTCAAAAGAAAAAGAGAAACATTTGAGCAACCAAGTATCCTCGGGTTTAGAGGATGTGTTGACAAAAAATGAATTCTTAAACTCTATCAATGCAGAGGTCTCATGAGGATTGCATAGTGAGAAAGTGTTGGATGTAAAATGAGTAAGTAGCAATAAGAACAAGTGAAGGGAAACATAAGACAATACTAAAAGTAAGGATCCCATTTAGAGAAACTTACACTTGCACTCTTTTTACTTTATGTTGTAGGATGTAGCAATTGATTATCTTCTGTTATATAGGAAACTAAGCATTGATATAACTTGGGGAAGAAGCAAAGAAGTTTGTCATGCTCTCTTGTTTTGTAGTAGGGATACTTTTCTTCGACCGAATGGAGCACTTCGTTAGGGACAATTTTAGTGATATCATAATTGATTAGTATCCATATTATATTGAAATGATTGGTAAGGGAAAATGAAAACATGCATTCTTTTCAAAGGGGAAGACTAAGACTTTTGAACCAACCATATGACTCATTCCTAATTCTTTTGCCGGTTGCACCTCTATATACTGGTTTTACTTTTTAAAAAGTAAAGCAAACCATTTTTAAAATAAAACCAGCTATGTATGTGTTTTTTTAATTCAAGTTATTTATTACATAAATGAAAACAATATATATATATATTTTATTCAATTTATTGGTTAATTTATATGATGTTGTATAAAATGAGATATATTTTGGTATATTATTTTGATTTTTTTAACTCAATACAATTAATTATTTAGTAAAATTTTAATGTGAAAAAATTAAAAGAATTGATTGGCTCTGTACAGCAGAACATGTTAAGCGGTCTGGAGTGCGCTTAACGCGTTACACCAGATGTAGAAAAATAAGACAACTGTAACACCCCATTTCTATCCAATAAATTATATAAAATCAGAGTTACAAAATTTCCAACAAACAAATGAAATACTACACTTTCAACTTGGAAACAACGACATTCAATCGCCTATAGTCCAGATACATAACATAAAATTCGGAGGAACCCATAACAACCTGTTTAGTCTTTAAAAATAAAACAACTTTCATAATTAAGCAGCGGAATCACAATTGTCAACTCAAATGACATAACATCTTTGTCCAACTGAAAACAACTTCAAAACAACAAGTACTTAACGAAAATAGCTTAAAATTCAGCAATAAAGCAACAAACGTTCATCCTCCCGAGTGTTACGTATTAGAGCGACAACACCGACTCGAACCACTGAAGATAAACAACCTTCACTCTGGATTACCTGCAGGTTACCAACATAGGAGTAACATTCAAACAAAAGGGGTGAGATATCAAACAATATAGTCGGATGTATGATAAATAATATATTAGAATCAGATCATACAAATCACCACTTCATAGCTTTTAAAAGACATCCATTACAACCATGTCATTAACATAATATCACAACTAATTCATCATCACAACAACTCAAGATGCAACATGAAAGTGACTTGTTACGATGCAAATGCATGTGGTACCAACGGAGCAAAACTTCCAACTTAATAATATGTCAATTAATAGAGGCATCAACAAGGCATAAGTCTTCAACTTCAAATCTTGTCAATCCAGGCCAACTTACCGAGCATTAACTCCCAACTTGATATGCTATGTATGCAACAACAATATGAATATAATAACAATCAACAATAATTAATTCAACAACGGTTCAACATAATGCAACACTGGTCATAAGCCTACAATTTGATATTACCAATAATGATAGGCATTTCAACAAAAATCATCATCACCAGCAAATTCATGTATTACGGAAAATCATTCAATTCCCGATCTCGACCAAAATACATTACAAACGCTTCGTGAAATTATCTGGACAATTCTACCAAAACCGGATAATTATTCTTCTGCTCAAATTACTAATATTTCTACTCTGTATTAATATTATTAAGATTATTCTGGTACTACTATTTTACAAGCCAGACTACTTTTAATGACTTTCCTACTAGATTATCCTTCACTGCTATTATATTACAGTTACCGCTATTTAATACTACTTTGTTATTTTTATTGCTAACTCTACTACTGCTAAATATTATAACTCTGATATAAATTAATCTTGCTACTTTAATATCTCTCTCTTACCTATGGTGCCGAATGGCACCGTTCCTCTCCCCCTCGACACACTCAATTTTTGTGTGCCCCTCGGCACACTCTTCTCCAACCGCTCCCGGTCACGCAGATTTCTGTAATTTCTTTTTGCCCAATTTTCCTTCGATTAACAGTTTCTTAAATACCATACCAATAAAACATATAATCACATCAACATAATCCATATACCGACATCAACATAGGATAATTTTCCAACAACAGATTCATTGACAGTAAAATAATTTCAACAATTTCAGAAGCAAGCGAAACAAATATACACGCACAACAAAATTTTTACACAACCCGATTCTCACATGCTATTCATCATAATTCTCATTATAGAGTCAGAATCTCACCCTTACCTCAGATTGAAGGTCGCTCTACAATTTTCCGATCGAACCTAGCTTTGCCTCTTTTCCTTGTTCCTCTTCTCTGCAACTTCATGCGTTACTGCTCCAATACTTTCTTAATCTTTCCAATTAACCCAATTTCTTATTAATATAACTAAACATAATAATAATATTATTATCCCTAATAGGCTCAACTTACACACCCCACCTATTACTACCTATAACCGTTAAAATAGGTCCAACTAATATTCTATTAATATTCTATACTTTCTAATATTATTTATTAATATTATTAATCAACTTAACTTAACTGACTAATAACAATACTGCAACTTATACCTACATAACACAATATTTCAACAAATAATTCAAAAGTAATCGCAAATATCTAATTAAATAATTAATTAAACCAATCCGGCGTTACAACTCTCCCCACTTAGAATATTTTTGTCCTCGAAAATTTACCTTCTTCGAACAACTAAGAAAAAGAGCCCCGCATATTGCTTTCCAATTCCCACGTCATGGTTTCTCCGGCAGCTCCTAACCAGACTACTTTCACCAAAGCAATCTCCTTGCCTCTTAGAGTCTTCATTTCACGATCTGTGATTCGTACAGGCATCGTCTCCATAGTAAGATTATCCCGTACTTGTACATCATCCATATGAATCACATGAGATGGATCTGAAAGATACTTTCGGAGTTGTGACACATGAAACACATCATGAAAATTTGAAAGATTAGGCGGTAAAGCCACTCTATAAGCAACATTCTCAACTCTGTCCGAAATCTGATATAGACTAATAAAACGAGGAGTGAGCTTCTTAGACTTCAATGCACGCCTAACACCAGTTACTGGTGTAACTCTCAGAAACACATAGTCACCTGCTTGAAATTATAAATCTTTTCTTCGTCTGTCATGATAACTCTTCTGTCTACTTTGGGAAGTTTTCATCTTTTCTCAAATCAACTTCACCTTCTCAATAGTCTCTCGAACAATTTCAGGTCCAAGCACTACGCTTTCCCCAGATTCATGCCAACATAAAGGAGTTCTACATCTTCGACCGTACAACACTTCAAAAGGTGACATTCCAATACTATAATGGTAACTGTTATTATAAGTGAACTCTATTAACGGAAGATAAGTATCCCACAAACCTCCCTGCTCAAGAACACATGCTCTCAACAAATCTTCTAACGACTGAATAGTCCTTTCAGCCATCTGTCTAAGGATGATATGCCGAACTCAACCTCAACTTAGAACCCAATGCCTCTTGCAAACTCTTCCAAAAATCTAAATTAAACCTCAGATCTCTATCTGAAATAATACATAAAGGAATACCATGAAGTTTCACAATTACACTAGTGTAAATCTCTGCCAACTTTGATATTGGAAAACTGATGTTAATAGGAGTAAAATGAGCCGACTTCATAAGTCTATCAACAATCACCCAAATCCAATCATGTCCTATTAGAGTATTAGGTAACCCTATTACAAAGTCCATCGAAATTCTATCCCATTTCTATTCTGGAACTTCTAACGGTTGCATCAACCTGCAGGCTTCTGATGTTCAACTTTCGAATTTTGACAAGTTAAACATGCATACACAAACCGAGCCACATCGCTCTTCATTTCAGGCCACCAAAACAAATTCTTCAAATCTTGATACATTTTTGTAGATCTCAGATGAATGTTCAACTTTCTTCTATGACTTTCCTCAAGAATCACTTTCTTCATCTCTGCATCGTCAGGAATACAAATTCGATTACGAAATCTCAATACACCTTGCGCATCTAACTTGAAATCACTATTCTCAAACTGATCGATTCTAACCATCGAGTCTACCAATTTTATATCCAACTTCTGAGCTTCTCTGATACTATCCAGAAAATCATTATTAATTTTCAACATTCCCAACATAACACTTTGCGGTGTCACCTCACAAACTAAGCTCATATATCTGAACTGTTCAATTAATTCTAACTCTTTAACCATCATTGCTGACATATGTAAAGTCTTTCGACTTAACGCATCGGCCACCACATTCACTTTTCCTGGTTGATAATTCAAACTGAAATTGTAATCCTTTAACAACTCCAACCATCTTCGATGTCTCATATTTAATTCTTTTTTATCAAATAAATACTTTAAACTCTTATGGTTGCTAAATACTTCAAATCTAGAACCATAAAGATAATGCCTCCAAATCTTCAACACAAAAACAATTGTAGCAAGCTCTAAATCATGTGTAGGATAGTTCTTTTCATGAGTCATCAACTACCTTGACGCATAAGCAACTACCTTTTCATTATGCATAAGCACACCTCCTAAACCCATCTTGGAAGCATCACAATATACCACAAAAGGATCTCCTGGATTAGGTAATGTCAAAATCAGAGCCGATGTCAATCTTTTCTTCAATTTTGTAAAACTTTCTTCACACTGAACATCCCACACAAAAGCTCTACCTTTATCAGTCAACTTAGTTAACGAAAGTGCCAACTTAGAAAAACCTTTGATAAACCTTCTATAATAAACAACTAATCCCAAAAAGCTTCTAATCTCGGTAGCCGACTTTGGAGTTTCCCATTGTAATACAACATCTACTTTAGATGGATCTACCACAATGCCACTACCTGAGATAACATGACCAAGAAAACTAATCTCCTTTAACAAAAATTCACACTTAGACAGCTTTGCATACAACTTCTTTTCTT